ACTGGCAGACAAAGGTCCCCAAGGCCTCGTACTGCACAGACACTGTTTGGTACCTGATGATTCAACAGAAGCAGCAACTCAGAGTGTCCTTTCCAGAACTACAACTTATTTTAAATACCCCATTACTGTACCCAGAGCGCTCTCTTTATACCCGGGAGCCTACTAAGGCTTTGGTCCAGATGCTCTCCCACACCAAAGAACTCCACGGAAAAGGTGACGGATGCATTTTCTTTCAACAATTTAACATTAACTACCTTTCAGTTTAGCTAAGAATGAGAACGGAGGAAGAGAAGCGTTGGATTCACCTTCTCTAGTTCATTCAAGATTTTGTATCCTTTGCTGTTCTCTTTAAAAATAAATACTCCAATATTTTCATCTTATTTCATTCTCTACAGGCAGGAGTTTGATTAGGAAATGCACCAGCACTCTCTTGGCCCTAATTAAAGGGCATGTAATACAACAAATAGATGGCAATACCACAACACGAATTCGATCCAGCCTGCATCATTTGTTCATAACTTTTATTCACAGAAATGAGACTACTACCTTCCTTCCACACCTCTGTCAGGCTCCCCATGGAAATTACTCTCATCCACTCTCTTGCAGAGTGCAAACATACAACTTCACTAATGAAAAATTGCTAGCAGAAGCAACAAGCACATCTCAGCTAACTAATCCATGGGATGTTCAGATCTGGAAACATAAACTTTCCTACCTAATAAGGGTGTGCTGATCTCCATCAGATTGATGCCAGGATGCCTTGGAGTGCAATCAATACAAAACAAATAAATTATTAATTGCTCCAAGTAATTAAATTTATCAAATCCAAATAAAAATAACTGATATTTTATGGAACTGCTTCCAAAGCTGAACCTCTGAAGGGACAGTATTGATCACAGTAGGACAGACAGATGTTTCACATGTTCACAGCCGATGAGGTCTGGGTTTGCATTAATGACAGGGAAGGAACAGAGCCAACAGCCTCCGATGCAGAGTAAACAGGCGGCGTGCTTGGCCATTTAATTGTGGGTCAGATCAAATATGGAGAATAAACATGTCTAAACACATATATACAACCCCATCTTCCTCTAGAAATATCATTCACCTTGGAGGTGTAGTAAGCACTCAGTTTCCACTCCAAGAAAAAACAAATGGAAGAGAACTCGCACACACGCATTCCCCCCACAACCACAGTAAATCCTTACTCATTAATCAATGCTAAAAAAAAAAAATGTTCAGCAGGCTAGTAAATATTTAAAAGCTGGTGAGTGTGAATATTTGAATCAATGGGTACTAAAGCTGTACTTGTAATTTTCCTTCCTCTACTTCTTTTTTAATTGGTCTGACTGGCAAATTGTCTACAAGATCCCAGTTAGCAGATGGAGTCAAGCCGCTGGCTGGAAGCCTTTTCTGAGGGGAGGTGGCCGGCTTTGAATGACTAAGCTGGAGCATCCCTCAGTCCTTTCTGCAGGCTGAGATCTCTACAAACTCCTTTTCATCCCAGAGTTTTGTTTTGTTTCCAGATAAGACATCACTCAATCGATTCTCTTCCAGTTCCTTTGTTTCCAAACCCGTGACAACAGAGCAAGGACACAGACTTATACCTCAACATGCAAGAGTGGGGACAAACATCCACCCTTTTCCGTCCGTCACCTTCCTTCTTAAAAGCACTGCAGCAGCAATTCAACAGCATTAACGAAATCATAACAAAATTCGCAGATAAGGCTAAGAGAGAAGATGAGCAACTTAAAACACACTGAAAAGATGTTAAGTGTGCCAAAGTCAAGTGCTCTGATGAGCATACAAGACAAAGGTTAAACTTAAGAGAAAGCTGAACATGACATGATACAGAAACACTGCGGTGAATTCAAAACAAACTCAGCTCTGCCCTAGAGAAGCAACACGATGCCTCGATCACAAACATGTGGTTACTGTTGGTTTGTCTGGGTCCTGGAAAAGAGTCAAGTTCAACAGCTCCCATTTTCCTTTCCTTCAGGCAGATCCTCAGCAAAGCTTTCCTTCCTCATAGCTCCCTGCTTTCCCTTTAGTCTCTTCCTCTCCTTTCCCTGTACAAATTCCCTACCCATCTCTCATTTCCTCTGGCTCTTTGGCTGCCTGCCCTCCCAGCTGAGCAGACCTGGTATAACAGGAAGTTTTCCAGAAGTAACGCTTAGGATTAAATAATACATTTCTGGTGTTATTTTCATAACACTGTTTTACTAACAGCAAAGGCAAAGGTCTAAAATTCCGTTTCAAGAAACTCATGAAAGGCTTACCCCCTTCCAAAACATCTGCTACTGCCTCCTGTTCTCAGTGGCACCAAGGCAATACACTGCCTTGAATTAAGATGAAGCTTTTCATAATACCCAGCTTCTTACTGCCTTAGAGAAATTTGCGGTCTGTCCTGTCAGGAGGCAGAGGGGAAATCCCATGCAGAGCAAGGGCACAGGGGCTGTGGCCACAGCCCCATGGAGAACAATGGGAGACTGAAGCCATTGTGACAGAAGGCAGCTTGTCGAACTCACTGGAGAAGACTACTCTTCAGCATCTGCTGAAGGAGAAACTTTCAGTTATGAAGAATAATGGCCGTAAGTGACCATTAATCCTGGGGGGTGGGGAAAAGTCTTCAAATTCAGCCTGTGCAGAAGATTTTGTAAGCTTTAATGACAGGGGGAATTTGAAAAGCCAGGGCTATTGTCCTAAAAACTACAAGGAACAAATTAAGTTGAATACAGATTGCTAACTTTTTCTTCAAGGACTCATTTCTATAAATTAATTTTAACTCAAGTTTTCAGACTAATTGTAAATCCTCAGGAGAAAAAAAAAGAGTATCTCTAATCAAAGAGTAAGTGCTATTATCCTGGGGATGATATGGTACATTTTTCACACGTGACAGAGGTTAAGTCCCTGATCTCAGTGCAAAATCCAACTTCACCTAACTATGAAGGCGTAAAGCACGGTAGCAAAGTACAAAATAAAGGAGGACAATAGAAGCCTTTAGGTGAGGAACCTTTTAGGTCCTCAGGAAAAAGAACTTACTGCAGGATGTCACAAGCCTTTAGAAATCATTTTCCAATGTGCTCAGGGCAAAACATCTTACGCTGGGTATTGCCAGAATACAAGTTTCCAGCACAGCATCCCAGTTCCTCACTTAGTCCTAGCTGGCTCCCATCCTTACCAATTCCACACCACTGCTGTGTAGAGGGCTTGCCACATAAATCCCACAAGTGAAATAATTCAGATTAGCATGGATTGTCAACTCTATACCACTGAGCACTTCAGCATCTCTTACCAGTTCAAAAGGCCCGTCCTGACCTCATGTAATTAATTCTCCCCATCACCCATATGTGAAGCAAGTGAGTCTATTAGCTCCCGTTTTAAAAACAGGGAAGACTTGAATAAGGAAGCCAGGTGACTGACTAAAAGCCACAAATGAATTCATTTGCTGGGTTGGAGGCAGGTTTCACATTTCCAAGCAACAAAGTGTTGTTTTTTCACCTAGATCAGTGATTTGCAATCTTTTTCAATTTGCAAACCACTGGTACTTCTAATAACAGCACTTATCTCCTTAAAAATTTCAAGCAGGGCATAGGAAGTTGCTCTAGGTCATCCCAGGAGCATGGATACCGCAGGCTGAAAGTTGCTGAATCAGACTGCCATGCCTCAGCTTATCACTGCATTTTGTGAACATTAAAGAGAACAGGGAGAAGCACGTAGCACCCATTTTCACAAAGGCTGGGATTTGAATTGCCTGTTTGGCACACGAAAAGGCTGCTGGCTTTGCCAGATGGTTCCATCACTGACAGGTTATTGCTCAGCTTCTCTTCCAGGGGGGGTAAAAAAATAGAAAAGATCAACCATCACTTATTAGTTTTCAAAATCCAAATCAATCTCCATAAATTACTCTATTTATCTTAGTGCCGGAGAACACATCTGCCACATCTCCATAAATCTCAACACATGCACTGCAGTCTTGCCTGTCACTTGCTGGGATTTTTTACTTCCTCAAGGCTGTAGCCCCTCACTCATACAGGTAGCCTGCAGATGGTGGCACTTGTACACTAAAGGGGTCCCCCAACAATGACCTTGCTGAGGCATACCACCTCTAATGTGCACATGGCACCTGTATGTCGAAGCAGCATGATCCCAAACACATTTCTATTAACAGCCCCAGGGTGTTCCCAGCAAGATCTGAAACTATTCTGACATCAAAAGAACATCCCATAAAACAGTCTTAAAAAGTGACCTAGAAAATTACTATGCCAAGTGAGGGTGCCAGACAAGGAACCTACTTCTCCACCTTTGCTACAATAAAGCAACTAAGGATTATTTTATTTGGCTAGGAAAAAAAAGCACTTGTACTGAGCAAACAGGATTTTGCTATCAAAACCCCACTGAAAACATTCAGTCGACCAGGCAGATTTAACTTACGCAGCATCCCAAAACCTGTCGCTAAGAGACAGGCATCAAGTCCTGCTGATAAAACAGCAAGGAAGTTCTTTTCTCAGGGATGTCTGTGCGACAGAATGAACAAAGGGGCTTTTCCCAAAAATATTTTCTGAAGATAATGGAAATAGGAAGGCTAATAATTGTATGTGTTTGTGGGTGTCTCTGTTTTTCAAGTCACAACCTGAACATCTGGTTCTTAAATGCACCTCTCATCTGTTAACAAACGTGCCCTGTGAGGCCTATTTGGCATTTGGCTGCGTGCTCCGTTTGGACTAGACAGCTCCATTCGGGTCCATCACGTGTGTCCAACAGCAGAGCGGGCACACCAGTAACAAACACCAGCAAGTTCAGGTGCCCCTGCAAGGCGATGAGCTAGCTTTCACAGAGCCAGCATTCCAGGTTTCTGAGTCTCCACATTTATGGAATTCCTTTCTTATTTTAGAGGCAAGAACTTGACTTTCTTTAGCTATAAAAGGAGAACAGATGAGGAGACAGACAAGCAGACTGAAAGACATTAACAGCGGTCCCAAGGGACCAGGACAACAGCCTACCCTCTGGCTTCGCAGCGTGACACCTGCAGATTTGAAGTCAGGAAACTTGATGCCAGCAGTCTCAGGAACAGCCTAAAAGAGATCGAAACAGGATGTCTTGATGGAGGAAACACAAGAAGCACAAGATTTCATACACACACTATCTGAAGGGGAAACACTGTTTCCTATGACAGAGAACCACCTGCCACAGCCACATGTCAGAGCTGAGGCAAGAGGAAAATCCCAAGCAATGGGATTCAGTGGGAAAATCCCAAGCAATTCACTGAGAAAAATACTGCAGTTCAAGGTATCTTTGGAGAGCTCAAGCATTTTTGCTTGGTTGGTTTAAATGCACTGCTCTACACAGATCCTTACACTCATCCACACGTGCATAAACCCTAACCCTAGATGGTACTCCTTATACTAACATATGCATATTTGCACAGTATCATCCTTATCTAACTTAGGCCCATTTCACTGATCAAAACAGCCCAGGACTTCCCTAAATCTTGGCATTTGACTGCAAGTCCTCTAAGGAATGAGCTGAGAAACCTCTGACCTGTACAGACATGAGCCCACTAATGAGGATGTAAGGACTGCACCCCTCCAAGGAGGCCTGCTGTTTATACACGTTTTGCCATTTGTCCACTCATTAGACAGTTTTCTTTCTTCCCCACTTCACATTTTAAGCATAGTAATACAAGAAGGCAAACTTCTAATGCTGCTGCTAGACAGTAGAGCATTTAGTTGCATTTCAACAAAATGGAAAAAAAAAAAAAGAAATCCCTTAAAAGTCTGTGCTGCTGAGCAAAGCACAAGGTGAGCATACTTTTAAATGATTAAACCAGCCTATCTGCAGGGCCCTGTGCACTGAATGGTGTGGGGTCCTCTGAACGGGTCAGTGATAGCCATGTTTCAATCTATGAACAGCCACAATCTCTGCAAAATGCATGCTCAATCACGTTTTTCCAAAAGGAAGAGTCACCTCAAATCTCCCGATTTCTTTGGAGACAGCATTCGCCTTGCTGCTCCCACATTTCTCTGCAGAGAAGCTCTGCAGCTTGTTCTTTGTTCGTTCCAGACAGGGCTGAGACAACCAGGGTTGCCCCAAGATCATAAGAGATGCTGAAGGACAGTGACTCAATTCCTCAAGTTCCCTGCCAGTGACTCTCACATCTCTATCAGCTATCTCTATGGCTTGGTCTTGAGGTGGCACCTTGCAAACCGCTCTGCGTGGCCAGGCATTAAGATTTTTTTTCAGTTATCTGTGGTCAATCCAATAAACAGAAGGCCCAGGAAGAGATTTCTAAACATGTCCATGGTGGAAAACGTATTCTCTAACTACCAACAGGGCTCATGAACTTGTAGAGATCACTTTGATCTTTGGTAGGATGTAGCCTCTCTGCTTGGATTATTAGACAAAGGGGGCTGCAATCAAAAACCAATCCTCTCTGCTTCCTCTGGATGAAGGCTGGCTTTCAGACTCCCCAGACTCTGCCCCCCAGCCTGTTGCTGAACACCCTGACACAAGCAGTGAGGGTAAATCAGCATCGTTGGCTTAGCCGAGACAACTCTGACTGCACTCAGCGCATAAGCAATTAAATGGGTTCTTTTGCCTTGCGTGCCTGTACATGCTGTAAACGCTTCAACCTCAATTGACTCTTTGGTAAATGATTTTCCTTTGTTGAAATGATGCTGATGCAGCTCCTGACTCAAATTCTTAGTTAAAATGCAATTTTTTTCTTAACATTTCCTGGCTATAGTTGGTAATTGACTCCTAATGGACTCTGTCATGGTTGAAATGATGCTAGTGCAACAACAGAAACTGCTTCTCTGCCCACCCTGGCGTGCCTATCCACTATATGCCTGCAGACAGGCACCAGCCAACAGGCAATATTTTAGGCTGGACTCCCTCACCTTGATATCCTCAGCATCTTTCCAGCCCCATTCTCCATCACCACCCTTTTTTCATTACCACCAATGACGAGCTGCTTTCTTTAGAGGGAGATATGCCAGCCATGAGTGAGCTTTATCAGATCAACCCTCAAGGGAATTCAATGCACAAGGTGTCCAATGATACTATATTCATTGGGGGAGGGGCGCCACAAAAAAAAAACAACCAAAAAATAAATAATTAAAAAAAAACCCCATTTAACACATATTCCTTGGGGGGGGGGTGGATAAATAATTTAAAAAAACCAAAAAACAAAAAAGCGTTTTAAGGAAGTGGTGGCCATTAGGTACACTTCATCAAGCAATAACTGTCTAGCATTCACTGCTTCTCTCCCCTCTCTGCACAGACCCTTTTGGAGGACGATGACACAAATGCTCTCTCTTCACAAGGTGGAGGGACAGGAATTCCCAGGGACTCACTGGAAACATCTGAGATTTTGTAACAGCCCTTTCCTACTGAAGGTGCTGAATTTAGCTCAGTCCACGCTGTCCTCTTTCCAGAAAGGGAAACTGAGGTAACATGAAATGTGAATTGAAACCTGTGTTCTAGGCTCCTTAGACATTAGCTCGGCTCAGGGAGAAATAAGAAGCAATAGCTCCCAGAATACAGGAGTCCTCCAGCAGGGCTGCTCTGATCACAGCTGAGGATCAGGAGAGGGGCACGTCCTGAGCTTGGGGAGACGCTACTGAGACCCAGGAGTGGGGAAGGAAAGGGAAACCTGGACTAGAAAAAGAAGGCAGGTGAAAGACAATGGGTTTGTGGGACAACCCTGCACAGCAGTACCAGAATACACTTGGGAGAAGCAGGGAGACAGATGCTTCTCCCTGCCATGAGGCATGAATGGCTGGCATCATTTCATCCCATTTCTCAGGGAGAGAAAGGGAAACAGGACTTAAACCAGCATTTTTCAAACGGGAGAGAGTCAGAGAGCACACCAGAGGACTCTGACAATGGCTGCCTTAGACAATTCTGCCTTCCAAAAGACATAACCGAAAACGCATCTGCCAGAAGGCAGACAGCAGCCACTTCCCCCTAAAAAGCTGAGAGCCTGATCCCACTAGACTGTTGAAGGAAAAACACGTTACCCAGCCAGAGCACAAAGCAGGGGGAAAAAAGATAAATCTTTACAGGCTTCTCTGTCTCCTTTTTCTGTGGCAGCTTCTTCTTGGGAGCCTTGCGCTCGGCACGTCTCTGCTCAGTGGTGGTGTCAGCAGCTGTGATGAGTTTCTGCAGGTCTTGGGTTCTCTTTTCTCTCTCTTTCTTCCTGGTTTCGATTTTGCGGAGCTCCTGAATGAGGTATTCTTCTTCTGCCACCTGCAGACCAGAACACGGAAAGGCAATCAGAGCAGCAGAGGAGGCCTAGCAAGGCAAGGGGGCCATCTACCGACAGCTCTGCTCTGGGCCAGCCTGGGAATGCCTTTAAGCTCCCCTGCCTAATATCCTGCAGAGGACTTGGATTTGCAGAGCACATTATCGTCCATAGCCTTACCCTGCATCCATGGCAATGCCAGCCTACAAACTGGCAGGTACTGTGTGGCAACATCCATGACGCACCCTTCAGCAGCATCCATAAGTGATCAATCCCTCCTCCAGACAGGGAGGCCAAGAGCACAGATAGAAGGGTAAAAAAGCCCAAATATACTGTAGTTGCAAATGCAGTGCTGTGAAAGCTGGCTCCCCTCCCCAGATGTAGTATGTAGAACTTAGAGCAGCTATGCCTAGTATCAGCACACCCGTCAGTGTGGGAAGGACAAGCAGAGCCATTACACATGTGAACTTGTCATTAGAGGGAACTACTAACAGAAAAGGATGGTCTCCCCCAGCCTTTGGGGAACAGACAGTTCCTTAACCTCTAAACCCTGGGACCGTTACACAGCTTCAACAAAGAGGAGAACTAAACATGCAGATTTACAGTTTTCGATGTTTTCTGGCAAGATTTTTACTCTAAAGGAAATAATTCTCTCCCCATGGGACTCAGGGACTCATAAGGATGTTGATCTGAGAATTTGTTTCTATTCAGAGGACTAGTACAGTAAGTGTCACAGAGAAGGTGTTGGCAGTTACCAGAGACCATAACTCTGCTCACCTAGCCCTCTCTCCTGTATAGTCAGATTTCTCAGTTATTTTCCTATTGTATCCCTTAAAATGACATGAACTCAACAACAAAAGCAGTACTTAGGTGTTGCTCTTTTCTTGTCCAGTCTTTCTTTCCCTTTCCCACCTTCTGGCCTATTTCATCTACGTACTGATTCAACTTATCATAAATCTTTTGGAGCAGTGACTCTCTCTTCCCCAAGTTACCTGCTCTGGTGTCCTATTGTACAGCCTTTCCAGTTGTTCCTTCCTTCGTCTCTCATGGCCAGCATCGAAGACTGGGATTTTCAGGTCTGTGCCCGGAGCTGCACGAATATTAGCCAGCTTGGCACAGATGTGGTAATATCGTTCCTTCAGGTCCTCCACTGATCTTTTCTATGGAAGACATCACAGGAGGACAACATTATGAAAGAACCAAGCAAAACCTTGTGCAGTAGCCAGCTAAGGACCACTGGCTGAAGGATGTCAGGCAGGGTGTAAGACACAGTGCCTAGGAGGAGCTTTGTCAGTCCCAGTGGAACCACAGGGAAGGGGGAGTTTCTCAGTGAACTGCGTCGATTAACTGTCATGGGTTCACAGCTACTGCTTTAAAAACACCCTCCAGAGGGTCCAACATTAGAGAGACAATAGAGACAATACAACAGTGAAGCACTCCCAGATAAAAGGATGCAAGGATAGTTGCCTCGAGAGGAGAAAACCTGTGAACAGGAAACTGTGACAAATATACTGGAGGTCTCCTCTGAGCTACCCCAGAGGAGCTATTCAAGCCATAACCAAGAAGGTATCAGCTGCAACAATTCACTGCCCATCGTGACATGGAGTCTGAGCTGTGTTCCCTTACTCCAAGCACCAAAGGTGTTTGGGCTGCCCAGCTGGGCAGGCTCTTGTTATTCCACTTTGCTACAGGCTCTTCATGTGAGCCTTTCAGAGGCCAACAAAAACCTCCAGCATTTGGAGCTGTTCTGTAGGAGTCACATCATTCCCCCACATCAGCAGGAAGTATGGAACCAGCAATTACAGGAGATTTAGGATCATGACACCAGGGTTGCATCTTCAGACCACTGATGGTCCCTGCTTCACAGCAGAGATGACAGAAGCCTGCACCAGGTCAGACCACAAGTCAGGAGCAGCACCAGGGAAAAATCCCAATCTCAGGGACCGTTAGCAGATCCCTCTCCCACGGCCTAGAACTGGAATCCAGGACATCTATCCTGCTCAGCTAAACAAACTCCCCAGCTGCCTTATCTTCAAGGAACAATGAGTTGTTCTCCTGGCAGGGACAAACCTTCTAACTTTCTAATAAAACACAACACGGAACGAGCACAAGTCACAGTGGATTTAATTACAAACAAAGCAAGCAGCAATGCCCCGTGCTGGAAATTCAATATTCCTTGCTGCCAATAATTCATTATTTTCCCCTAATTAAGTTGATATAAAGGGTAATTTAGTCTTTGCAGTGCAGCAAGCCCTGCACGTGCCGTAGCAGCAGGTTGCCAGCAGCACCTTGGCCCCCGGGACTCACCTTGAACTGCTGGTGATCATAGCGGTCATGAATCACCACAAAGCGCAGATCAAAACGCCGAGCCAGGTCAAAGAGGTGGTCTGTCTCAGCTTTGGTCCACGCATCATCATGGAGATACATCTGATACTCCTGCTCCGAGTAGACAGGTACCTGCACTGTCTATGCAGGGAAAAGAAAAACATGGCAGCTCTCTTGCAGCACTGCCCTTCTCACTGCCAGCTGGTAGGGCCCGAGATACTTGAGCCAAGAACAAGAGCAGCGCGCCGGCAGGAGGGGGCTGCCAGGACCCTGAGAGATGGGTCCTAGTAGGAAACATGACGAGCAGGCAGGGGACTTGATAAGGAGCAATGTGTGATCTCAGGGCTGCAGACATGACGTTCTGGGGAGCTTACCAGGAACTACTGCCTGGGAGGCTGAAACCTATTTCAGGTGGCTGACACAGGCAGAGGTCAGCAATCCACATCCTGACAATAGGCTTCAAAATTATCAGGCTAACATGACAGTGAAACCAAGGTTCAGCCAGCCTCCCTGCATTCCTCCCACATAGCAGCACCAATACCTTGACATAAACTGCTCTGACAATCAACTCTTTACTTGGGTTGGGACATGCTCACTTGTACAGCAAGAATGGGAAAGGCAAGTAGCGGTGGCTCCTAGCCTTTAGCACACCTCCTGCTTTGATACACAACCCACTTCCTTCATGTTTGGTGCAGACAGTGCCATGAAGATCTGGAAGGCTGGGTGCTGTACAATTGAGCGCCATAAACTTGGCAAACAACTTTGTCCCCCCCTTCCTCATCCACCCTTTCTCCATCAGAGCCACAGGGCCAAACGACAGTCCAACTCTCAGAGTGTCCCAGGTACCTAGAAGGCCAAACCCACACCACTGGCCCCAGCCTGGAACTGCTCTGCAAGGGCTCTATCCAGAACACAAGCGTCACATGAGTACTAAAGGAACGGTAAAAATACTTACTGTATTAGGGGAAGTCCTAGCACATGGTAAAGCAAAAGTGCAAACAAGTCTGTGCTTTCCTCCCTTACTACCCCCTCCCACCACTCCCGCAGTTGAACTTTGCTCAGCCTGAGGAGGTCCTGCCTCCACACGAAACATGGTGCACATGTGAGCAGCGCACATGCTTCAACACCTCTATGCCCTCCTGAGTCCTACACCAGAAAACTCATCCTCATGAACACCATACACACCAGAGGAGCATTTCTGAGCCTCCAAATCACAGTCTCTTTAGGTCTACTGCCTTTTGTCCATCACTTAGATACCGAAGCATAAAGGTGAAGCATATCTCCTGGGTACATACTGCACCTCAACCTTCAAGTACCACTTCCACCAGGAGAAGCACCGTCCTATTAGACACCGTAAGGATGCCCTATGTACGTCATGAAAAAGAAAAAAATTTCTACAGTAGCATACATACATGAAAAGAGCCAGCAGGGCCCTCTGCAGTGGATGGAAGGGAAGGTGGCAGATGCCAGGTCAGAGAACAGAATGGGACAAGAGCAAAGAGCAGTCCCCAAAACACTTCCTCAGCCGCTTTCATGGCTGCTCAGGCGAGAACTGCTGAGAAGTGAGAAGGTGAGAACTCATCAGATGGGAAGCTTGAGCCAACCACGGGATGACTATAAGTTCAAATGCAACGCAGCCATGAAAATGCAAATATGACCCCCAGTGAGGGATTTCCAGCAGAAACTGGCAGGGTTTCAGTTGCACCACAAGACCTTGCCGGGGATACCAACTATAACTCTACTGACCCATGTTCAGGAAAGATGAACTGAAATGGGAACAAGTACAGAGAAGAGCAATGAGGATGAGTAATGGGGTGGGGAGTTTGTCTTCCCACAGCAGATTGGAAGAGAAAGGAGCCTAGCAAAGGAAGTCTGAAAGGGAATCTGACTGCAAGCTTCAAGTATGCTAGATGGAATGAAAGGAATACCCACAGGAAGAAAAGAACAACTGAAATAAGGACTAAGAAATTGGCTTGCAAAGAAATGCCAATTTAACATGGAAAATTTAACCTGGAAATGAGAAATGGAGCAGAGAGAGTCTGGAACAGCTTCCCAAGGAAGCACAGGGGCAGGAAAATCCAAGTGCTTTTCAAAAGGAACTTGATCAGTTTATGAAAGGGACTGGATGGTGCAGGACCTGAAAGAGCCAAGAAGAGGATTCAGTGGCCCAGAAAACCCCTCTCAGTCCTACATTTCACACTACAAACTCACACAATGATGGGCATTAACTTAGCTGAAACTGCTCAGGAAAGATCCTGGAGCCGTGAGACAGTTCTGTGAAAACATCAGCACAATGCCCAGCAGTGGTGAAAAGACAAACTGAAGATGAAAAATTATCGGGGGGGGGGGGGGGGCAAAAAAAAAAAAAAATATTGGGGGGGGGGGGGGGAAGGGGAAAAAAAAATAAAAAAAAGAGAAACACAGCCAATGTGCGAACCCACCATGCTTCCATAAGTGAAACACGAACCCCTAGTCCACCCATTTCAAAAGAAAGGATATTTGAGAACAACAAGGGTGACACAGGGCACAGGAGGGCAGATATATGTCCAATTATGGAAAACACAGTACATAGTAAGGACAATTTACTACATCATGTAACACAAGATCTCAGAGGCACCAAATGAAACACCAAGGCAGCAGTTTAAAATGAACAGAAGAAAGCACCTTTGCACACCATACAAAATTAACCTGCAGAACTCATTACCATGGGATATTCACAAAGCAGCTTTCTGCCCTGAATGTACCTAGCAAGAATTATTAAACACAAATTCCAAGTTAAGAAATCCTTAAGCCAAAGACCACCAGAAGCTAGGAAGAAATGATCTATATTTGCCCCATTCTCATACTCTTTCTCTAAGCCTTTACTAATGGTAGCCAGAAACAGAATATCGGCTGAGACAGGATTTTGCTCTGACACCAGTGAAGCTGCTTTTATATTCCTATTTCACACCGTGGATCAAGGCTCCGTGTACACTGTGAAACCTACATTTACATTTTGGATTTCACAAAGAGGAGGATTTGGGTGGGAGACTGGGAGCAGAGAGAAAAGGCAAAGCAACTGGACAGTGACACGGGAGCCGGGTTAAAGAGCTCGAGTGACCAGTGGGACAAAATACACAGGAAAATGGGCTCATGCCAAGGGGAGTAAGAGATTCGGGCAGAGGTATCAAGAATGTGAGAAGGAAGGCACAGAAGGGTCTGGAAAAGTAAATAAAATTCCTCTGACATAGCAAATATCTGCAAAACTCCTCATCAGTGCCTTCTACCCTCTCAACCACAGATCCACAAGGGTTACAACTTGCTCCTAATATTATGTAATTGTGCATGTGTAGATGGCAGAGGACTGTACCACTAATCTAAAGGTTGCAGCCTTGCTGAAGGCTCTTCTGTCTGTCAATTCACAGTACGTGATAAAGTTAAGGAAACAAGAATCGTGTAATTACAACACCCATGTGTGGTCCCCTCTGATAAACTCAGTTGAACTCAGCCAAAAACTGTTACAGCAGTAGAGTCTTAGAGACAATTACACTCCCGAAGTTTCACTCAGACAGCTAGGTAGGCGCCTTGACTGAGTCACGCTTCAGACTTCCACCCTAGACATCAGAGAAGAGATTCCACAGGAGGCTCTTACCAATGTCACAGCAAGAGGAAAAGCATCAGTCAGAGCTTGAGCCTTCTAACATATAAGGTCAACCAACCACTTAACTCTGCAGGAAGCCAGGCTTTGTTAGAACTGATGCTCTGTGGGTTACAAACTTAAAATGCTGTATACAGTTATACACAAGCAGAGCTTTTGTGGAATCATGTTATCACACGCTTTTTTTTTTCCCCTTCAGATTTGCATCATGAAGGGGGTTAAATTACATTACGGAGGCACCCTAACACTGCTCCTTCCTAACTTTGGAGGTCCTGACTTTGAAATATAAATCTTGATGTCGTTTTCTTTGTGCATGCACATGAAAGCCCCAGCCACTCAAAGCAGATACATCTGGGACAAAAGACGGCAGGAGATTACAACAACACATTGTGACAATTTAATATAAGACGCAAAGAACAGGGTACTGTACCACACAGATACCACAGGAGCAATTTCAGAAGGAACGCAACGTAATTCAGCATCTGTGCTGGAATCTGGCCAAGAGGCTGCAAACCAGTTTTTTGGCCACGAAGCTCAAGCGAATTTTTTCATACTGGGCAAAATAACAAGACTTCAATGTCTCACTCAGAACAGAATATCTTTTACTACCCAGAGCCTGTAATCAGGGAGAGGATGTTGGTTAGGAACTGAATTAGATGGTACAGTGCCTCCTTACCAAATCAATGACTGCACACCTGAAACACAGAGGGCTCTAGCAAGCTCTGACCACATGCTGAGCCCACTTAGCTTAAAGGATTTGGAGACATCATAGTCTGAGGTCACACGGGCTGCAGGCCGCACTGCAAATTAAAATGTAATTGCCAAACCTAACTCAGCCTTCACGTGTTGAAAGAACCAACTTCCTGTCTGGACATTCAAGAAGCTGACCGAAGGGTATTTTCCAGCTGCTATTTATATGCTTTTGTTTGAAAGTGCTCCCACTTACTTTATTAAACCTGGCAAAAGGGTAGTCCTTTCCTTCCTCTGCTGCTCTCCTCCAGTGGTAGAACATCGCTCCATCTTTTCTCGCTGGGTTGGTGAAAGGCATCCACTTCCAAGGCCGGACTTTCTTGGACCCCAGTTTTGCTTTGACTGTTCGATAACCCTGAGTTGTATCACTTGGCAGCAGCGGAGGTGCATCCCTGTGGTGGAGAAAAGCACCGGCTGACGAGAAGCAAGCAGCAGCCCAGGACAAACCCAAAGAGATTTCAGACTCAGCGTGGGATCTGCCACCACAATGTCTAGGGTGGGAAAACCTGAGTTTAAGCTTTATTCCAGGTTTTGCACTTCCCAGACTGCAATGCTTCCTGCATCAGAGGACAGAATACACAGCACAGATGGGTTTGAACAGAACCATCTGGAAAGCAAACTATGCAAGAGACCTCTGGGGCAAGGGCGCAATCCATAACAAGCTAAATACAGGCTGCAGCAGAACTCTTTTTGCAGAAATAAAAGCAGGTGCTATTCCCAGTTGCAAATAAAAGAGAATTAGATACAGAAGGGTAAGAACACTGCCTTGTCTGCACTAGACTGTTGTACCTGTACCTAATTCATCTCCTACACAGAGCAAACCCCTCAAATTTAGAAGAGAGAAGACAGACGCTGTCCATGACTGTCTAAGAGAGAAGGGCACAAGCATGGGCCAAGCACAAAGGGGATTCAATCTGGGAAGCGAGACTGCCCATGGTTTCAAGAGGATGCTGCCCTGCCACCAAAAGCCCAGGCTACCCCACAACCTGCACAGATGACCATAAGCTCTTACTTTTTGTCAGAGTAGAGGAGTGCATAAACTTCTCGGTGCATTCCTTCCGGCCTCTTGAACGTCAATGTCTCTGAAGATTTCTTGGATTTTTTCTAAAACAAAAGAATTGCATTTTAGATTCATAAGTAGCAATCCCTGAGGGAACATTAAACTACGTAACCTGGCGCCCTGTGATGGTTTTCACTTTTATCTGTTTTTAGACACCTTGAATGTCTCCAGGAAAGCGCCTGTTCCTGGTGGAAGCCATTGACAGACAAAACGTGCCCACTTTCAGTGATAGCACTCACCAGTACTCAGACACTTGTTGCTGCTGATAACACACACTTAAATTCCAAGTTGAACATCTGGCTGTAGTTTTCAGGGGCTGGTGCACTAAGCCTTTTTTTACTAGGTAAACACTGTCCTCACGTGAAGGTATTAATGCATTTAAATCAAGTGATTCTCTTCCTTTTAGAGAAGATAATAAGAAATGTCTTCCCACCCTCTCTTAGTTTTTGTCACTTTGTTCTGCAGCAACTTCAGTTTTTACCAGTTGTGATTAAGCCCCATGTCAAAACTACTGGTATCACCTACAAAAGTAAACCCCCGTTCCCGCCTCCGCTCTCCTATTTATACAGGAAAGAATTTTTTTTTTTTTTTTTTACATAGTTTCTTCATACTAGGAATTCAGTGTAGACGACTCAATCTGGCCCCTAAAACCTTGTCAGAACTGATGGTTTCTAAGACACATTCCACCTCATATCACACATACAAGTTTATAAAGTAATCAGCTTTGGATTCAGGTAGATACAGTAACAGCCACATTAATAAGGTACACTTTATTTAAGTGGGCCAAGTTTACTGAGTAGTCCAGAGCATTTGGTCTAACTGTACCATCTTTATAACTACTAGCCATGTCACTACCTTTAAGTACTTGTTTACCATATCGCTACCAACTTTTAAATCAGAATATTTTGCAATAGTAAAACTAACACTGTATCATAAATCGTATTAAATCCATACAGTCACCTTTATCAAGCAAATTCAAAATCCCATTAAAAAAATAATAATCTATCAGCTTGGACTACAACTACTTTCCATAAAAATTCATGACAGACATTCATTATATTAGCACCTTCTCACTCCTAACCAAACACCTTTCTCCTAGGGTGTCCATCACTTTGCCCAGGAGCGACGCAAGGCCAACCGAGGCAGTTACCCGCAGGTCACCACACACCCAGTTTGAACACGGGCTTCTGGAATTCCCCCAAAGTTCCCAGATTTATTAAAAGTTAATATCAGCGGGTCAGAGATCAGCTCAGCCAGCTCTTTTAGGAGCTGAGAACAAATTACTTGGTCCTGTTGATTTAAATGTTTTTATGCCTAGTAATTTTTATTTTAACATTCTCAGTCACTAATGGACTGGAAAGTACTTCATGGTTCTCTTGTGATTTAAAGACATCAATCGGTTTCTTTTCTAATTGAGAACAGATCTATTTCCTGAGCAAGTGCTGCACTGTTATTAGCAATTTTGCTCTCTCCATGCAATAACGATTTATACCTTTGGTTTGATTTAGTTTCTGTACTTTGTAGAAATTCAGAATGTTTCACTCACGGCCACAAGTGGCCTCCTGCACTCCTCCCCAAACCTCTCACTGCACCTCCCCTTCCTCTCTCTCTCCATCAGACAGGTAAATTTGAGGAGAAACCCATCTTATTCTCTGCTTCAAAAGAGAGGCAGACAGCCACCGGTTCTCCTTCAGCTCTCTGCTAGCTAACAGACAAATGCATCTAAATCAAAGAACTCGCAACTCTCAACACTCAGTGGCAGAACGTCGCAAGCTGAATCCAGCCAACGAGCTGCTCGCTGGACACACTATTCACCAACACAGCTGAAAACTGGTGATTTTAACATTTCAACCTTTGAATTACTGAAACTCATCAGTTTTCCATTACACCAATTATACTATGTGTCCTATTCCGCACAAGGCGGTCATGAAACCACTGCGCTTCTCTTCAGAGACAAATGTTTCAGTGGAGGCAAGCAAAGACATTCAGGAAGTACTTTCAGGGATGGGGTGGTTGTGTGTGCTTGTTTTGTCGGGTTTTTTTCAAACAAATACACAGGGTTTACTTCAAATCAGACCATCTCTGTACCAGAGAGCTCCTGGGGACTTCATCTCCCCTGCCTCATTTCCGAGCACCTCCACGTCTCGTAACTAGTTGTGACCTGACCTTCCCAACACCTTGCAAAGCATGGGACAACCAAGACCTTGCCCGAATTTAAAATACAGAAGCCAACAACATACCGTAGCATATTACCACACAAAGCACAGCACATGACGGCATACGTCCTTAACAGAGCTTACTGACTTGCCCACATTCCCATGGGCAACACATCCCAGTTCTCCCAAACCCCAGCCGCACACCTTCTCCGCACGGGGACTGCTCCCATGGTTTGAAGATATTTACCGTTCAACCAAGTCAGACGATGTTTTTTTCTTCTAAAACAGGACTGTGTTAATTAATTAATTCCATCTGCTTGGGGGCTAGATGGTAAACACACTTCACACTTACTCCACAAAATGGGGATTTTAGAGACTGCTGAAAGTGTCCTGGGACCAGGCCCAGCTCACCAGCACACCACTTACACAGCTCCAGCTTAAATACCACCCCAAATGCCACAGCACAGTTAACTGACAACACCAGGAACCCGAGAGCGGGGCTTTACAGGCATTTCCAGGTCCTCTAGAGGAGCCCGAAAATAAACGGACTATGGCAGGAACATGCTTTTTTCCACCTTTTTTCAAATATGCACCCCAGACACCACACGCAAGGTCAGTCAGCGCCTCGAAAACAAGCAGTGGCCCCTCCGGGCATCGCAGTTCACCTTATCCGAGTTGATGATATCCTTTTTGTTGATGGTGCCCGTGTTCTCCGACTCTACGCCGCCCAGCTCCAGGATGTCCCGCACGTCTGCGCCCGTCGCCATCTCTCCGCCTGCCCGTTGGCCTTGCCCGCCGCCGTCCCGTCCGTCCCCTCCAGCCCTGGGGGGGGAAACCACGGGGCCGGGGTTAACGTGCACCTCCCGCGGGGGCTACCCCATACATACACAAAGACGCACACGTGTGTGTTTATATATATACACACGTGTATCTACATACATACACGGCTATATATACACACACCCCCCTCAGCCGCCTTCCCATCCCCCTCAGGCCCAACAACGGGGCCTTGT